ATTTGATCTTGGACTTCCTTTTCAACAATTTTGCTATGTGGCATACCACTGAGATTGATCTGTAGTTGTTAGAGCTTTACCTTTGTATATGGGGTTAGTCATTGAGACTTTCCAGTTGTTTAGAACCATACCATTCATTAATAATTTAGTTATAATGGAACATAGAGATATCGCGATATAGCATGATGCAAGTGAAGTTTATAGCCTAGTATCGAAACTATGAACATCAATGTTACAATTTTTAAATAAGCATTCCATTTTATTTTTTCAATATTACCAGTTACAAGTGTTGTAAAATTAAGTGTGTAATTACAATTTTGGGTTTTCTATTGTGTTGTCTTTTTTAATTGTGTTTGAAATGTCTGTTCCTATATATTAAATAGTCGCTAACATATTTACAATCAGGATTTGGATGGATATTGTTTGAATTTTTTCTTTTCATCCTACAAACGTTTGGATTTTCAAATTTTACTCTTGCATTTGTTTATAAGTGAATGATTATTTAAAGATGTTTGTCGGCTAAGCGTTTAACATAATCACAGTCATACATACTTTATGAAATGAGGTACCGGTATGATCCATTTAATTTTATTTAGCTTAAGTAAATAGAACCAATATGTAAAATAATTGTTGACAGTATTCATTGACTATTCTAATAAAAACATCAATTCAATAAATATAGCAAATGTGCGTTTTCTTTTGGTCTTGAGAAGTAGAAATGCTTAATTATGATGGTCAGTCCAACCAATAGGCGGCTCTTCAAAGATGCTCTCTCAGACCATCTAAAAAATAAAAATCTAATAATCCAGAATTAATTATTGTCAAAACATTATAGAAATCGGAAGGAGCCTTGCTCCAAAAGCAATACATCTGTGGTGCACATTTTAGTTGACATAGTAAATTTGCATGCGCGAAGGGTCCCGACTGTACCCTTGAGCCATGGCCCCTCACAACCTAGTTACGCCACTGCAGGTAGTCTGTACTAGAATGGAAGAAGCATAAGAGGGCCCACACAACAGTTGAATCGCGAAATGGAGCAACTGATCACTCAGGCTGACGCAGACTTGAACATAGCGCAACTCAATTGAACAACTAAAACAATATTGTGTATTTTCAGACTGACAGTAAATGTAAATTAAACTCCAGAATCTACTATCAATCACTTGTTTTATTCTTTTATTGGTTCAAATACATGGCCAATACAAAGCCTGAATCCCAGGGCCGTAAAAGGTGAATGGTGCGTCGTGTGTTGTTCTACCAAAATCGAGCACAGGTCCTTCGCGACAAAATGAGGTTGGTACAGACTTGCAAATAGCTCATGCGGAAAATATGTTCTATCAGGATGATTATCAATAATTTATTAGATTTTACCGAACTATCCTAGATTAAGAAGGTTCGCATAATGGTACATTTAGACCAACATCGAACGTTCGAGTATTGCATGAAGAAGACTTGTCCTCCTACTAAGACGATGGATTAACCTTGCTTTGGTTAGAATTGACAAAAATGTGACTGTAGATGGTCATAATGAACTTCCAGTGTGTTTTTCAGCAAGATATACATGACCCTCTTGAAATCCAGAATTTGTCACAAAAAAATAAATAAATAACTCCCAACACTCAGGGCCGTTATTTATTTGTTGTTTAATCATGTTTAGTTGCAACTAAATAATTCATATTATTCAAAATTTCAACAAACTGTTATGTGACATAAAACAACAAAAATTCATTGAAGACTATCCAGATTTTTCAAAGTTTATAAAATAATACTCATATTGTAAAGACCTTTTACAAAATTTCGTTTAGGAGCTTATGACATTGAAGTAAAAAAGAACGATTGAGTTCGATTATGTAAAGTATTTTCTTATAAGGCAATTGGAGATGAGTTACATTTTCTTTTAGTTTACCTTTTGTACAAGGGTTTTTGGAAAAAAATGATTCTTTCATATTTTTATACATGTCCTTTCAAAATTAAGCTTTTATCTTTTATGGACGCCTTGTGAACGTTGATGTAGGTCGGTATACGCTGAATGTTCGCTGGCCATTCGTTACTCATTAGTTAGACAAATGCTGTGTATACGTTATGCATTCGCTATGGAAAAGATTCAGATGGACTGGACGTACTTGGACGAACAACGGACGAACAGAAAACGTAAACCCAACGTGCACCAAACGTGCGAAACGTTCAAACAACGAATGCTCACCGTATACAAAGCGTATTATGCAGAATGTCGTTGTCATACGCTCAAAATTTTGAACATGTCCAAAATGTAAAATCGACCCCAGCGTACGTCTGCGTACCTCAACGACCAGCTAACGAATACAGCGTATGCCAAACGTATTACGAACGTGTCACGAACGAATGTCAACTTACGCCGAACGTAAAGGCCCTGTCACATAGTAGCGAAAGACCTAACGTAAGCCGAGCGTTCTCATTTTTTCCCTAAGTCACGATACGCTCAAATACGCTCAATTGTTTTGGCAAAAAAATAACATTTTTGCATGAAAGATGAACGCCCAACGAATAAGAAACGAATGCTCATCGTACATCTAGCGTCCATTTAACGAATGACAGCGCGTTCGCCCAACGAATGTTCAGCGTACACAACGAATGCCAGCGAATGTCACACGTATGCCTAACGTATTGACGCCTTGTAAACGTTGTTGTAGGTCGGTATACGCTGAGTGTTCGCTGGCCATTCGTTATTCATTAGTTAGATAAACGCTATGAATGCGTTATGCATTTGCTATGGCAACGTTTCAGATGGGATTGAACGTGTTTCGACAAACAACGGACGAACAGAAAACGTAAACCCAACGTGTACCCAACATGCGAAACGTTCAAACAACGAATGCTCACCGTATCCAAAAATTAAAATCGGCCCCAGCGTACCCCAAACGAAAAGCTAACGAATACAACGTATGCCAAAAGTATTACGAACGTGTCACGAACGAATGTCAACTTACGCGAACGTAAACCAATATTTTGATGAACGTCGGCATACGTTGGTTATATACGCTACAGTGTGACAGGGGCTTTAACCAATATTTTGATAAACGTCGGCATACGTTGACTCTATAGGCTACAGTGTGACAGGGGCTAACAAGAAAATTCACATCATTATCATTATTAAAAGATGTTGCAAAATGTATTATATATGCTTCTTTAAAAAGAAAGATGTATGTTAACTGATTTTTCCACCTTTTAAATGTGGTTTGTTTATACTTTGGGTCAGTGGCCATTAATAAATGCCGTAGATATCAGAGTCTACAGCGTGAAAGTAAAATCGAGCTTTCGGTCTTAAAAGTTCCATATTTGGGACAGCTTTCACATCGTATTCAATGCATTCTACTAAATATTAAAGTGTTTCATAGTGCACCTAACAAACTATCCTGGACTCTACAAACACACAAGGATAGACCACCAGCACAGAGCCAGCCAGGAGTTTATCGGATTCCATGCGAGTGTGGAAAGGTTTCAATGAAACAGAACGTGATCTCCACACAAGGCATATGGGGCACCAAGGCCATGCTAGGAGAGGGGAACAACAAAAGTCATCTATCATGCACTCCCACAAATTACAACATCGCGTATGTTGCGATTAATCTGAACTAATAGCCACTGTACCATCTTGGCATTTGAGACGGACCAGAGAAGCTATAGAAACTCACAAACACGATACAGTACGGTCCATCAAGATATCGAAGGTGGGGGAGCGAAGGGGGTGGGGGCGAAAGTTGGCCGATCGAGACAACACTGTCCTAGAAGGTTTTCTTTTTCTTTTTTTTTTCTTTTTTTAACCTCCCAAAAGTGGGGGGTGGGGGGCGGGGCCGGTCCGCCCCTGAAGTTCTTTTTAGAACTATCTACGTGGTGCACCGCAAGCATTAATATATGTTTTTATTTCGCCACGCAATCCTTCAAAAAATATTCATTGAAACTTTATATTTCCGGTACCTTATAGGTACAAACCATAATGCCCATATTATTGCTGCAATATTATAGTATGTTTTATAAGCAAGTCGTTAATCGGGTTCTTCTGATAATGGATGTTTAATGTTAGTTTTTTGTTTAACAAAATTGTCTTCATTCTGTTCGTTTATAGTATTAAAACATAATCGTTTAACTACATATTCTTTCTTGTATAGTAACTACAACACCAGAAATAACCACTACGTCACCTTTGACGACACGAAGGAATGTGCAAACCACAGGTAAGCGATTTAAATATGATTTTAAATATAATAATCTGAAACATTATAAGGATTTGAAAATAAAATAAAATAAAATACATATATATATATAATTTATATATATGTATATATATATTATATATGTGTGTGTGTGTGTGTGCGTGTGTGTGTGTGTGTGCGTTTGTGTGTGTGTGTATGTGTGTGTGTGTTGCCTTAACCAATTGGGCCAATGAGGCATTGTTGGGAAGATTAAAATCAGATCAAAGCATCTAATTTTTCACAATCATGTGCACACGTAGTTAGACGCCACTAGACTTTGATGCATGGCAAATCAGAGATCGAAGGTGACGATAAGACAAAATCTCCGACGAGATACTTTTAGCCTAGTTTGTTAAAGGCATCTACATAGACAGCAGAAGTTCCCAGGATCAAATTGAGGTTGGGACACCTATTTTTCCCCCTCTTTAATAACGTTTCAAATTTGTATATATATTTATTGCAAATTGCACAGTAGAAGGTGTATCTATTCAGACCTTAGATTGTGCTACAGGCATGCGCGGACTAGTGTTATTCGAATTGCTATGGGTACGCGTTGAGAATGTTGAAAGACTCGCAGTGGCTACCGGATCGAAACAACCAACGAAAGCCTGCATGGTCTGCATGGTCTAGATGGTAAGACGTTCGCCGTGTAAGTTAAAGGTCCTGGGTTCAATTCCATATATATAATATGTACGTCTAATATTAATCCTTCCTTTGGACAAAGTTTTTATTGTGTTCGTTCGTAATTAAAACATTAAAAAATAAACGATAACTGACTATTTCTTCTTTAATAGCGACTACAACAACCACAATAAACACTACGTCATATTTAACCACAGCAAGGCATGCACAAACCACAGGTAGGTGATTAAAATTAAATTGTATTTTAGATATAATACTGTGATCTGAAACTATATACGGCGCAATATGTACCCGGCTTAATATTCATCATCCGTCTTCACGTGAGCTATCATTCGCTGTCTTAGGGATCTGGGGGCGGATTTATCAAACTTGCTAAGCAAGAAAATTTGCTTAAATTCGTCTTAAATCCATTTTTTTGCTTAAGTCAGATTTATCAATATTGCTTAGCTTAGAAATTGCTTAAAATTTGCTTAAAATCGTCTTAACTTTAAGATGAAAACATACCTGCCTTAAGACGAAAATTTTCGTCTTATCTCATTCAAAGGCTGCCGCCTCAGATTTTTTTTTATATCAATCAGATCATTTTTATATCAATCATCCTGACAGACTTGCGTTAATCAAAACAGCTGAAAATCCTCTTGAATCAGATCACTTTGCTGTTGAATTCAAACTCCAAATGCGAAAAGCTCAACCAGAACCAGCACTCGTTCGACAGTTTTTATCTTATGCAAATGCAGACGCTACCATCTTAACCAGCTATTGCACCTTGCTCCATGGTGTATGGTGATTGACCATCAGGACATCAACTCATCTTGGGAAGGTTGCCTGGATCTGTTAGAGGCTGCCATTAAAGACAGTGTCCCAGTTAAATTACGCAAGAAATCTAAGAACAAGCCATGGATCTCTAAAGATATTCTAAAGCTTGCCAATAAGAAAAGAGCGTTGTTCAAAAAATTTGTAAAGACTCAATCAATGGATACTTGGATAAAATATAAAGAAATTAGAAATGAGGTAAAATATAAGACCAAAAAAGCATACTATAACTATGTAAACAAGTTGTTCTCATCTTCTGATAACAAACGTAGATTCTGGGGTCATGTCAGAATGAAACGTAAATCTTCTTGTGCTAATGTTTTTATAAATAACGGAACACAAATAGAACATCCAGGAGATATTGCACAGTGTTTTCAAAACGTTTTTTCTTCCGTTTTTAATAATTCTGAGAACATTCCTGAACATCCCTTACCTTGTTTATATCCACTACTAACCTTATCTAATGTTTATTTTTCTGTTGAGCAGGTCACTAGGATGCTGCAGAAACTTCAAACAAACAAGGCTGCAGGCCCAGATAACCTCTCTCCAAGGCTCTCCAGCTTTGCGCTCCAACTTTTTCTCCAGTTCTTTGCGAGTTGTTTAATATTTCCCTCTTATCAGGTAGCGTGCCTGAGGGTTGGAAGAGGGCACATGTCACTCCTATCTTTAAGAAAGGAGTGACTACCGATTTTAACAACTACCGCCCGGTGGCTCTAACATATGTTGTGGGTAAAATGCTGGAGAGGCTGGTGGTACAAGCACCTCTGCAGCATGCTACTGATAATTGTTTGCTCATTGAGAACCAACACGGTTTTTTACCTAAAAAGTCATGTACCGGATGCCTAATGATATTCTCCTAAATAAGCTTTCCCAGCAATTTAACATCTCTGGGGATATCTGGTACTGGTTAAAGTCATTTTTGACTAAACGTTTTCAGAAAGTTCAATTTAAGGGATCCTCATCTAACTGGGTGGAGGTAACCAGTGG